GACAGTGCAGAGGGTAATATCATGTATGTAATTCACTTTACATATCCAAGCTCGTATCGCTCGCATCGTATTGCTAGCATTCAGTCGCGCTGGGATTGTCAACTTTGGCTTGTGCGCAAAAAAATAGTAAAAAGGCACTCTATCTAGTAAAAATAAATATAAGGTCGATTGAAAAGAGCTTTTTATAAGTCAACTTGAATAAAGTTTTATTGCATTTCATTACTATTTGATTCAAGAATGGTAATATAAACCAACAATAACTAAACTATTTTAAGTTTAATGTTATATTAAGTTGGAAAAAATAAAAAAAAACGAGAATTCTCTGTTTTGTTTTGCATTCAAAAAACCTCCACTAAACTGTTATTATTGCATTTTTTTTTACTCCATTTTTGTATAAATCAATTCACAGACGCGTTTCTGAAGCGGGTGGAACTCGCGCCCGCAGTGATCCTAAGCTATACCATGTCCATGAGCGGTGTTTACGTGTCTGTTTCTCAAACGTACTTGGTGCGTAGATTGCCTTTTGTATTTTGTAGAGAAAGACCGACTAATCGACTAGCCAACTAGATCTTGGTTTTCAAATTGCCGACTAATCGGCGAACTAGTCGGCAATGCCGACCTTAGGAAGGTAGGTATTAGAATGATCCGGAATGTGTCGTCACTACTTGGCCTGCTCACGCACGATACGAGTTATTGTGCGGCCGCTAAGCATATTGTGACGTATTTTATTTATTTACATCGAGCTAATCGCGACGCGATGCATTTTAATAGAGCGACTCAAAACATAACTTTATTTTTAATTCTAAAGAAAAGTTTACTAGAAAAAATCCACGCGGACCAGTGTCATAATGGTCAGTGCATTTGCCCGGATAGCGAAGGATGCGGGTTCGAGTCCCGTCCGCTGCCTGGTCCGCGTGGATTTTTTCTAGTAAACTTTTCTTTAGATTTAAACATCTAGCAGTTAAATGCTTAAAAAAAATCATAACTTTATTTACTACACGAAAAGATTTCACACATTTCAATTATTGAATTTGTTGCACAAAGCGCATGCTGAATTTTGTTTTGAGTCCTTCTATTAAAATGTGCGCGCAGCGTCGCGTCGCGTCTTGTTTCGATGTGAGCTGACACTAATCCTTAAATTAATTGTTATAATAATAATTCATTTATTTCAACCACAAGGATCATAGCATGCCAATGACAAAATAATAATAAATAGTAATAATAATGATACATAAAAACCAATTAAATTACATCTCAACATACACTTACATTTAAAATAAAATAAAATATCCCACCTATTAACAGTTTCAAAATGTCAAAATTTAAAAGGATAAAATAAAAAAAATGTCAAAATTTAAAATGGTAAAAGTAATAGTTATATATAGTAATTATGTAAGTAGATAGAGACTTATTTGTTTATAGTTAGTGTATTTTATAGTTTTATGATGTGAAATTGTTAATGTTAGTTGTATTTTATTGTTATATCTTCTTAAAATGGTAATGTGTATTTTTAAATTAAATGGTAAAATAAAAAAATAATGTCAAAATTTAAATGTTATAATTAAAATTAAATTATGTTTGTTATGCACTGATTATAATCGGCATGTTTTGCCGAATAGTCGCCGTCTATAAAAGGTGCCGGTCCTTCCCAACTAGTCGGCGGCTAGTGGGCTCATCTCTAGTATTTTGTGCTACGATAACGGCGATATATCGTTTTCACCATATATGTCATCTGACCGTGACGTCACACTGACGAGTCCAATCAAAAACGCGGCTTACCCTCCCTTCACGCCGCTAACTTTGATAATTTGACAAACGAAAATTGAGTAGCGTGGTCTCTAGACGGGGTGCTCTGTGAACCAGTCTCATTCAATCTTCCGATGCGCTTCCCTTATTGAACAACTTGAGTTATGTCCCTAATTATCGTGCATGATTGAATAAGGTGAACGAAGAACTGAAACATTAGGAAAAATCGCATTTATATCTGCAATGTAACGCAGTGAAGCCGTTACTGGCTTTTTCAGGGTTTCCCAAGTATATATGATACAATTTTTAACAAATACAATACGTATGCTGCATCTAAAACTTTTTTATAAATTTCTTTTAGGTGTATTGTTTTTCTTGTTTAAATCATTTTAAAGGGCGCGGCACGTCACCCTAGCGCCGAACAAAACGCGGAGGGGACAGCTGCGCATGGGTACGACTGGAGAGCCAATCGGCGCGACGCACGCCCACCCGCGCACCTCGTTTCCCCCCAAGACATCCTAATTTTTACTTCTGCGCAATAACGGTCAGCGCTAGAGTTTCGTGCCAGAACTTATACATTGCTTTAAAAAGATTTTCATGTAAAACAACGTATTACGTTGAGCAACCTCCACCTTACAGGAGTTACAGAGTTAATAACACTACTTGTGGTGGTGTGATGCTTCTGTCGGTAAGTAAGGGTAAGTAAGGTTCAAGGGCTCCACGTATTAGGGAATTGGGTCAGTTGGTTTATACTCTATAGACTATGGTGACCGCTTGCCATAAACAAATTCGTAGGCGATAGCAATAGCCATAGCAATCCCACTAGGCAATTGAACTGGACAGGGTCTTCATCCGTATGTGGTTGAAATACCTCCCCTACGCATGTCACGATTCGCATGCTCTTTTATCATACTTACCGCATGGGAATGGAATTCCCTTCCTGCATCTGTAGTCCACGATTCATATAAAATGGAGAACTTCACGGCAAGAGTAAATAAGCATTATTTGATATTGCCTGCTCCAGCTAAGACCACACCGTAGCTTAACCACATTAGTAAAGAAAAATACTATCTTTACTCATGTGGCTTAACATCAGGTGCGACTGTGGTCAAACGCACCCAAATCTTTTACAAAAAAAATGACATAGATCGTGCCTCGAAGAGCGCTGGCGCCGTACTGATCGGCGATTTTTTTTTGAGTGTGTATGCTGTTGGTCGCAGATGACCTTTACAGCGTCACCGGGTTTTGGGACGGCGAGATCCAAAGGGGACCTCAACCCGAGAATTGGCGAGTGCCTCTGAGGTATTCCAGGCGGATGGCGTCTCCCAACGGGGGGAGTCTCCTCTCCGACTGGAGCCTCCAGACCACTCGAACCTGAGGGGATCGGTTGTACGTGCCCCAAAAGATGTTTCACCTCAAAAAACAAAAGAAGTTTTAATGCATTCATTTATTATCATCTAAAATATCTTTAATCCATTTCCTGACCACTCGAACCTGAGGGGGCCGGTTCAACTAGAGGGCGTCTCTGAGACTCTAGTTAGCCGTTGTCGTGGGCCTGATCGACGAATAGTTGAGCACTGGTATATATTGCATTATAAGGCTCCAGTACACAATGGGCCATGCACAGCCATGCGCCACGTTCGGCCAGCATCGCTGCATCGCGAAACGGCGTTTACACAATGGGCCACGACTCACTGTTGCCTGGCGAAACACTCGTGATGGACGTGGATGTAATTACGGCCGCGGCTATTTATTCATATTCTGCTTACAAATATTACAGAAGTGTGAACCGCAACAAAGTTATTAAAATAAAATGGCGCAAAAGACGGTGGTGGATGCCGACAATCCACCGTAACAGGACAAAGTACGTAGATTTTGTATTGTTACCTAGTGTATTTCAAGTTATTTTGGGTATTATTCTATATACGTATAGAGTATGCCTGATTCTCTAAACTTAAAACCAAAGACAACAGTCTCTCGTTTTCATTCAGCATCATGCCAGTGTTTGTTTTTTTATTTATTTTTTTATTTATAAGAAACAAACAGTCACACATGTTTACAATTGATACATAAATATCATTGGTTAGTAGACCTATAGTTTCCATAACTAATTCAAATAATAATTGATCCAGTAACATTGGTCAGCAATAATAATAAGGCATTTTTACATTGGGTACACGGAAATATATTTTTTCTAATAAAGATGGAGCATCTATCTTATTATTTAGGATTTTATATAAACAATTTATATCTGTTAGATCCCGTCGGCGTTTTAAAGATGTTATATTGTGAAAGGCAAGGCAGGATTGATAATCGATGTGCGGGTTACATGTTCTATAATCCAATGATTTTATAAATTTACGTTGCACCTTCTCAATTTTGTCCTGATGTACACGATGCTAAGGATTCCAGACAGGGCTTGCGAATTCCAATCGACTACGCACGTAACTGTTAAACGGCATCTTATATGTAAGAGAACTCTTAAAAGGTTTTCCTATGCGCACGCAATATGAATCCCAAGAATTTAAAAGACTGGTTTACTACTTTTTCAATGTGCGGGACAAATGTAAGTCTAGAATCTCTTATCTATTAGACAAGTCCGTCCGTCCGTCCGTCCGTGGTGCTGTTACAGCGGCCAAACCGTAAGAGATAGACAAAGAGAATGTTTAAGTTATAAGTTGAGAATAGTCTGATAAGACTACAAACCGGATGTGAGTAACGTAGCACTTCCGGTTTTCGAGAAATCACGTGATTTTATTTCAAACGAAACCACACAAAATCTCCGAAGTTCTCAATTAATTAAATACTTTTTTTTTTTTGGTGAACATTTGGTTCACTGGTTTGCTAGTCCATTATAAGTGCCACTGTTGTCACATCTACCTACTTTTACTTCACGGCTGCAGATTTCACGTTTTCACCATCTGTGTGTAACCACTGTGTACCTAAACGCCACCGGCCACGCTACACCACGATTCCTTTGAAGTGTGCCCAAAAAACCGACAACTTGCCGATTGCGCGCCACGATTGGCAATTGCCCGCCATCATCGGCCATCATAAACCATTACCCCCTGTACACAATGGCAAAGGCTTGCAGTGGTCGAGCGTGGGCCATTGTGTAGTGGGGCCTTTACGGGCGAGCGTCGCCACGCCAGAAATCGGTTGTACGTTTTTTTTTGAGTGTGTATGCTGTTGGTCGCAGATGACCTTTACAGCGTCACCGGGTTTGGGGACGGCGAGATCCTAAGGGGACCTCAAGCCGAGAATTGGCGAGTGCCTCAAAAAACAAAATAAGTTTTTATGCATTCATTTATTATCATCTACAATATCTTTAATCCATTTCCTGTAGTTCTTCAGGGAAGTATAAGTGACATCCTTGGAGTAGCAGATTCCCCTGTCCAGGGGATTCCCGGAGCGCAAACCTCGTAGGTAAAGTTGGTTGTCATCTGATAACGTTGCGTAAACGCCTCCATAACTGGGGCAAAGAGCTACATCTGTAGAAAATGAAAAACATTTGAACATCTTTACCTACGTGCTAATTAATAATAAGAAATCAAAATAAGATATGTTATTAAAGCTTTCTGTTTCATATATTTGAATAAATCTAGGTCCTATCGAGGTCTTTTGTAGTTAAAAGGTCCTGCCGTTGAACAGCTCATTGACGACCTCCGTGGCCGAGTGGTTTGTACGCCGGGTTTTATTGTGTCACCGACTCGAGAGGTCCCGGGTTCGAATCCCGGTGGAGGCAAATGTTTGTGTTATGAATACGAGCATTTGTACTCCATTCATGGATGTTTAATGTGTATTTCTACATAAATATAGTTCTATATGTACTGTATTTGTATTCTATCCGTTAGCCTAGTATCCCATAACACAAGCCTTACATTGTTTACTTTGGGGCTAACTGAACCCAGCCCAGTGCCCTCCCTTATCCATCTTAATATCTCACTATTCCTTAAAAAATATCCGACCCACCAATCCGCACTGTGGCTGCGTGATGGGCCCGATCCCCCGATTCCGTCAAACTATTCAACAAAAATTGAAACCAAGTCCACAGACAGTCCAATACCCACCCAGCTGTCTTGCTAGGTTGTGGCTTGTGGCGGAAAACTCATACAAATGTTTCGCGTATATTTGTGCTCGCTATACAATAAAGTCCCAAGCAATATCCAAGAGTTAGCCATAAATAAAAGAGATACTCTTTAAAAGCATTAATTAAAAAAGCTTACTACAAAGTGACTGATTATATTACAGACAATAATGTTTGGGTTTGTACTGTTCCAATCATTCCAACAGGTTTTCTATATGAAATAGGTAAATCATGATTGTATTGACGTTGTAACAACACAATGATTTGTAAATGTTGTTACATTATACTTTTAATGTTGTGGAGTTAATTTCGCTCGTTTTTCGCCGCAGCTAAAAAATATGTCCAATAACGAATGGTAAGGGAAAAAAATTCAAGAGTCAAAATATCTTTTTTAGATTGGATTGAAAATACAACTCTTTTGAATCGTCCATATTTTAGCACACATTTTTTTAGCTGTGTAGATAAACTGACGTAAAAAATTCACAGCGTTTAATAACTATGTAATACATAACATTATATTGTTACGGTGTCAATACAAAATAATTTCATGTTCATCATAACTATAGAGAAAGCCTGCCGGAATATTTGGAACAGTTTAAACCCAAGCATTTTTGTCTAAAATATAATCTGACACTTTATAAAATTGTTTGGACGATTCAAATAGTTGTACCTACTATAAATTTGAATATATATATAATGTATATTATATATTGATAATTTGATTTCTTCGTACCAAAAAGACAGAATTAGTAAAACAAGAAGCCTACCTATGAAGGTTATTGCCTAGGCTACGCCTACATACATAGATACAAAGCCCATCGTAACATTCGACCCTTTTTAAACAATCCCAGTCCTTCCCCTTTACAGGAAATCCTCAGTTGAGTTATCTCAATGATAAAAATACATAAAGGAGACGTTATTTCGTAAACAAACATAAAGCCATTATTCCAGCTTTGTAGGGTCTGAAAAACAAAAAAGAGAATATAGGTAGGTATATACTATCGCGAACATCTTTCTCACCATTGCGGTAAGTGGCGCAAAATGTATTTTCCACTTTATTATCCTGGCCACAAGCTTTACTTTTCTCTTTATCGAAATATATGAGTGTCAAGTCGCCCGAGAAGCCCCATGCAGTAGTCTGAAACGAAAAATATTTCTTTTGTTAGCGCCTAATGAAAACGACATAGCAAACATTTCTCCGCGCCGAGAAATGTGTGGGGTCGCTTTTGCCGTACGTTTTGGCAAGGCGCGGTTAGATGTGTCAAATAGTTGTTAAATTCGCTGGGTGAACGAGCTGGGTTTACTTTCATATTTTAAGTTTGATAATTAATTAATGACCATGCCCCAAATTTGAATTTTGGATGATATATTCTTCTTGTGACAGGCTACGTCGTCAGAATTAAACTTTTATTTAAATTGTCGAGCTACCTTCGAAAGACTTTTATTGTCTTTTGAAGGTAAAAGTCTTTCGAAGGTAGCTCGACAATTTAAATAAAAGTTTAATTCTGACGACGTAGCCTGTAAAGGCTACGAAACGTCAATAAATAAATAAAGTTTCGTGCATTAACCCGTAAAAACTAGTTTTATTTAATATTTTAAGGTTAATTTTTAATGATAAGTTTTTAGTTTGATATTGTTGTGACGTAATTATAGTTATTTGTTTAATAAATTTCAGTAAATAGAATTTAGAAATATGAGAAACTCCACAAGTCAGACATATTTAACAAAGAAGCGTAAGAATCAATTTGTAAAAGTAGGTGAGTAACTATGTATATAGCTACAAGGGTTGCCAACCCTATATTTGGGGATCAAATACTATTTTTCAAAAAAAAATACATAGTAGGCGAAACTACTATATTTTGTTTAAAGCAGATTTTTGCCAGTAAACTCTTTCTTAAAATAAAAACTAAAGTATTATGGTATAGAGCAAAAATATACTTATTGTAAAAATAAAGTAAATATTTTTTTAATACAGTTGCTCAAAAAGTGGCGTATTGCAGGGACGTGTAGCGTTCGGGATCTGAGCTATTTCACACTCGTGCTTTTTTTTTGCCTTTCCCGAACTCGTGCGTTTTCTTTCCCAACTGTCAAAATTATTTCTATTAAAAAAAACAACCATGAAGTTTTAACTAAAAAAAATGGTTGCCTGTAAAGTCGGTTTTACGGGCGAAGATTTTACGTGACAACGTCTTTTTCTCGGTAGAATATTTATTGATATGAATATAATTAAATTGCACAATAGGAACAAGGAATTGAATGAAAATAAGAATTGCACAAATTTTAACTATAGAAATATATTTTGTTTACTAAAACATTGTACATGTAAACTTAAACTTAACACGAGAGACTCATCGTAACGTTACCGAGCGTTACACTTTTTCATAAGTGACTCCCAGCCGCAACCTAATTTAAGACGTTGTCACGTCAAAAAATCATAGAAGTTTTTGCGATTCATGCAAATAGGTTTATTTGTTTTTAAAAAGAAGCTACCTATACTAATTTGTCCAATATCAGTATTAATTAATTGATTGAATGAGTTAGGTAAGGTTTCAGTTCATTTCATATCATTAAATTTCAATTTCATTTCTTATAATAAAAAATACTAAGTACTAAAGACTTGGCTGTATGAGCAGTTCCCTTTGCCTACCAGAATGGGTGAAAAAAAACTGCTTACATTCTACGGTTGGCGCCATTTTCCGAAATTTTCTTTGCGAGTTTAGTTGTTTTTTACACAAAATGAGTAATTTCGACCTAAATTTTTTTGAATTAAGTCCACCGGAACTCAGTATAATTGCACAAAATGCTTCGGAGAACATTTTACCGGAAAAGTCAAAAATTCGCTACATATCTACATACGATGAATTTATTGCGTGGAAAGATGAGAAAAAAGCAAATAGTTTTTCAGAAAATGTTATGTTGGCATACTTTTCCGAACTCTCAGCAAAATTAAAACCTTCTACGTTATGGTCAAGGTTTTCGATGATAAAAAGTATGCTGAAAATAAGGAACAACGTGGATATAAGTCAATATCCAAAATTAAATTCTTTCTTAAAACGACAATCAGACGGGTTTACCAGTAAAAAGTAGAAAATATTAACATCGAATGACGTGGAAAGGTTTTTGAAAGAAGCTCCCGATGATTGTTATTTAGCCACAAAGGTAATTTATTAATAAGTATACATATCTACATTTTTCTTTAGTGTTCAGTTTACAAAATCGCAAAATACAGTCAATACATTATTTATATGAATCAAATCGTTTTTTTTAGGTTGCTCTGATTTTTGGGGTTGTTGGAGCTTGCCGCAGAGAGGAGTTAGCCAATATTACTTTAAAAGATATTGAAGCCCATGGAGAAATGCTACTTATCAAGATTCCAAACACAAAAAATAAGATACCGCGAAGCTTTGTTGTTGAAGGAGATTTTCTCACAATAGTGAAAAAATATATGAACCAGCGGTCCCAAAAAGGAAAATCCGACCGTTTTTTTCAAAATTTCCAAAAAGGGAAGTGTACAGCTCAAGTAATCGGCATAAACAAATTTGGTAATATGCCAAAAGAAATAGCTACGTTTCTTGGTCTGCCGGATGCTGAGTGTTATACTGGGCACAGCTTCAGAAGGACCTCTGCTACATTATTGGCAGATTCAGGAGCCAATTTGACGTCCTTAAAGCGACTAGGTGGTTGGAAATCGGACAAAGTTACAGAAAGCTATATTGGTGATTCATTAAACAACAAACTAGAAACTGGGAAAAAAATCACATAATCCATTAATTTAAGGTCCAGTCCGTCTCCTTCACATGCTGAAGAGAACGTTCGTCCATCTACGAGTACCTTCGTTGATAATGATAATTCATCAGATCCAATTCCATCAACTAGCAAACGCCATTGTATGACAAATATACATGAACAATCATACGAAATTAATAATAGTTTGTCTCAAACAGTAAATATGCAACGTAAAACTTCCCCAGTTAGTATAAAAAACTGTACCAATTTCAATGTATATGTGAATTATAACTTTTATAAGAAATAAATGATTAGTTAATAGAGTTTATTGTGTTTTTATAATTTGATTAAATTGCTTCATTTTTTCGCAACTGTATTAAAAATAGTCGTTCAGTACACGTACGGAACCGTCATTGCAACTCGTTCCGACTGTCAACCCTCGCCTTCGGCTCGGGTAGACATTTGTCGGAACTCTTTGCAATGACAACCATTCCGTACTAGTAATGAATTATACTATTATAACACATTTGCTCGTGAAGCGTCTCTTATTGCACCAATTTCAATATCATAATCTATCTCATTACACACGCGTGCGGTAATGTAAAGTAAAACGCACGGCTTATTATATTCCAGTCAAAAACGAACGATACTTTTTTAAATCTTAGCAAATACTTTTTATGTCAGACAGGTAGCCAACATTTTCTTAATAAAATTAACTTTGGGAGATAAAATATAATATATAAACATTTAATTCTTTAATTTAATTCATTTTGACAATAAATTACAAACATGTATCGGTAACAAATTCACAAACATATTAATTTACTTTATTAGTAACACTGGTTGTTTTTTGATCCTTTGCCTAAAATAAGCGCGCGCATCGCTAATCTGTGAAAAAGTTATTTCTTTTTCTTTTCGTTGTATTGTTTTTATTTAAAAATATTGTCAAGTAGTAACGAATTCATTAATTTGACACCACCAGAAGTCGAAAAAGGCAACGCTAAGCCTCTTGTCTGAAAAATCCACGGATGGATACTCACAGTCAAGCGTATCAAAATTTCATCTTATGGAAAACAAACAAAGATGCAAATTCATTTTCAGAAAGTACGCACGTAGTATTATTTCCTCGCAAATGTGTTATAAAACGACGTATGACATACGTGCGGTTTGATAAAAAATTACAGCCTCTGCCTTCTTATAGCCCTCACCTACGGCGCGGACTAACAATATCGCCTCGGCTGTAATTCTCAACTTACCGCACTTATATCATAATGTACTATAACCGCATACTATATTTTTCATTTTTTTTTGTCATCTACTATATTTTTAGAGGAAACAGCTTCGAAAATACTATTTTTGATAGAAAAAAAGTTGATAACCCTAGTAGCTTCCTTGATAAAAAATTATAATTTTCTCTAGAAGAAATAACTTTTTAATTAGCCAATTATTTATTGAGCTTCTTTCTCTCAAGGCGATATTATTATAAACTGATTGATAAACACTCAAAGCGTTCGAAGTTATTAACTAAGTGTTTAGGTAGGTATTAATGGTTCCAAATCAGTAGCGAATAAGTTTTTCGCTAAAAAAATCTGTCATTATACAGCTGTTACAAAAATACAAATAAAGCTTGAAGGGCGTTGAAGTACATCATATAAGGAGTCTTCTCTAATTTTCTTAAAATATTTGCATGAAGTTTTAACTTTTATAAAAAAAGTTATTTTTAATGATTAATAAAAATATCGATCATTTTAAGACACGTCACTAGTTCGAGAATGATTAAAAATAACTGTTATTATAAAAACTTAAAACTTCATGCAAATATTATAAGAAAATCAGAGAAGAATCCTTATATGATGTACTTCAACGCCCTTCAAGCTTTATTTGTATTTTTGTAACACCCTGTATAAGGGAAATAAAATAAATTTTCAATATAAAATAATTTACTCGATCCGACTATCAGGCGGAATTTAAACCAGCACTCATCGCTATATGGATGGATGCACTGACTATATTTGAATACCTACCAAGACATTAACGGAAGTGTCGACAAACTTTTAAAATATTTTTACAAGATTCGGAAAAAATTGCAGCTAGGAAAAAGCTGTGCGCCTGCAATAGGAGACATTAAAAAGTTGGTGATGATATTTAGTAGTAGAGAAGCTCGATGGCACGGGTGGTCGGCTGCGATCGTTGAAGTTAAGCAACTTTCGCAGTGGTCGGTCATCGGATGGGTGACCAAAAATCTTCTATCTCGAGTTCCTCCGTGCTTCGGAAGGCACGTTAAGCCGTTGGTCCCGGCTGCATCTGCAGTCGTAAACACCCGCCAATCCGCACTTGGCCCGCGTGGTGGGTCATGGCCCAATGTCCCTATTCCATCCACAGGGAAGGCCTATGCCCCAGCAGTGGGGACATTAATAGGCTGATGATGATGATGATGACGGGTGGTTAGCGCGTTCGGCTGCGATCGTTGAAGTTAAGCAACTTTCGCAGTGGTCGGTCATTGGATGGGTGACCAAAAATCTTCTATCTCGAGTTCCTCCGTGCTTCGGAAGGCACGTTAAGCCGTTGGTCCCGGCTGCATCTGCAGTCGTTAGCACCCGCCAATCCGCACCGATCTCCCTATTCCATCCATAGGGAAGGCCTGTGCCCCAGCAGTAGGAACATTAAATGGCTGATGATGATGATGATAATTAAAAACCACAACAACCGATATTAGGATTCTCCTCCTTTTTAAAGTCCGTTAAAAGTAATAAAAATGGATGCGTGTAACTTATGTACGCGCGTGAGAAGTTATACTAAACATCATTAAAAATATTTTTTAATTGCATGCAAATAATTAATAATTACAATAAAATAATAAAAGGACTGGAAAAGGATAGTTAACACAGTCAATTAAGTTCAGTTTTAATTTGAATAATTAAATAAATATTCAAAATATTCAATTAAAATCACTACTGAATTTAAGTTATTAGTCCATATGTAATTAGCACTTGTAAGTAACTAAAACACATTGTGTCTATATAGAAACTAGAAACATGTGGATAAATATGAAAACAGTGATCAGAGGCGACGAGCGTGCCAACATTGTTTTTGACAACGCGATCATCTTATGGAGCTCCGTGGATCGTTCAAAGTACCTTTCGAACAGATGTCTAATACTACTAATACTATAATAAGACACTAACATTCATAACGCGCCCGCGGCCAACTTCATGGTGTTACTATTGTGTTACAGTGATGCGCGCGCATCTCGAAATTTCACTCACATGATTTTTTCATAACGCGCCCGCGGCCAACTTCATGCTGTTACTTTTGTGTTACAGTGATGCGCGCGCATCTAAAAATTTCACTCTCATCATTTTTTCATAACGCGCCTAAAGAAGTATAACTTCAAAAAAAGCACTACTGATAGAGCTTTGATATAATGTTTGTTATGAAATACAAAACCAACAAATAAAATTTACATTTTGATAAAAAAAATCATCATCATCATCAGCCTATTAATGTCCCCACTGCTGGGGTACAGGCCTCCCCTATGGATGAAATAGGGAGATTGGGCCATAAACCAACACGCGGGCCCAGTGCGGATTGGCGGGTGCTAACGGCTGCAGACACAGCCGGGACCAACGGCTTAACGTGCTTTCCGAAGCACGGAGGAACTCGAGGTAGAAGATTTTTGGTCACCCATCCAATGATCGACCACTGCCAAAGTTGCTTGACTTCAACGATCGCAGCCGAACGCATAAAGTAGTTACTTGTTTATTTGGTTTTTAATACTACATTGACTTTCTATCCATAATTTGATAATTACTATTAGCAATAACAGCCCATTTTCCTCAATCATAATCTAGGTTATAAAATTGCATGGTTGGACGCTTTAATTAGATTAATTGCTTTCACGGCCTTTGCCATTAAAAACAAAAAAAAAACACTAATTATACCTACGTAATAAATTCCCAAAGATAATAGGGATAATGTTTTTTTTTCTCTTATCAGTATTCTTAGCACGAACCTTGTCATTGTCAAATTTTGTATGAAAACTTGAACAGCAGCGCTATAACGTACGTAGCGAGAACTAAAAATCAATACACTTGACATTTGACAATGACATTTCGTACTAGCAAACGATACGAATTCGATATTGGTTCGTGCTAGGGGTACAGGTAGATTAACAGGTGAACAAATAATTGTACACGTATTTTTCCTTTTTTCACATAATAAAAACGTTACAGGGATATAATAATTTGAAATTTCGCATGACGATCTCTTGGTACAATTTTCCACGTCTTGGTACAATTTTCACCTTAGAACGCCACGAGCCCTCACTCCCAAAACTTTAACTAGCTTATCTTTATAATTAACTGGTTGATTGGCAAAAGGAAAAATACGTGTGCATTATTTTTTAATAATCTACCTGCCGGACTAAATTGTTTGTGTGTCTGTGTATGCATATTTATATATATATGTCTTCTGCTCATGTATATTTCATTATTATGTACTAGCAAAACTGTGAACTAAATGTTCACCAAAAAAAAAAGTATTTAATTAATTGAGAACTTCGGAGATTTTGTGTGGTTTCGTTTGAAATAGAAATCACGTGATTTCTCGAAAACCGGAAGTGCTACGTTACTCACATCCGGTTTGTAGTCTTATCAGACTATTCTTAACTTATAACTTAAACATTCTCTATATCTATCTCTTACGGTTTGGCCGCTGAAACAGCACCACGGACGGACGGACTTGTCTAATAGATAAGAGATTATTTAAGTACTTTCTATCATGGTATGTTCATATTAAATAATTTCTTTTTTACTAAAGCTGCATTCGTGTCTTTCTGTACTCCTGAAGGTTGACAGGCAGAGAATGCTTTTATCGTTAAGTCCGCCTTTTGACTATTTTGTAATGGTGGCAATAAAGTTTAAATAAATAAATAAAATAAATAGTGTCGTTCACTTAATCCCGTAATCAACCCTATCAAAAAACAAATACATTCTTACAACAGCTTCTTTGAAGTCATCCTCTTCGGTTGTTATTCCTTCGTCATTCTTCAAGCAAGCTGCAGCTATTCCACTGTCAGTTTCCACAGAATCTTCTAGAAGTAACAAAGCTAGATCGTTCAAAGCTTCGCCTTCTGCTATTGTGAAGTTTTCATGGAGCATAATGGTTTTAACCTGTGGGACAACAAATATATTTAATAGATCAGCCATGCTATTCTATGAGAACAAAGTCACTAGTCACCGCGGTATCCGCGTATGTTTCGAAATTAGGATAGTGTATTTTTGAATGCGTTGTACACTTTTTTTGTAATGGGTCAAAACTGTTAAACTCGCTTCAGGACACGTGATCCAATCGAAAATTCGTAAGACAAAAACAATAAAATTTGAGAGGTTGTTGATTTTCAATATATTGGACGAAACATAGAAATATTTTATATTATCGTATTATAATAATAAGTCTCTAATTAGGATGTCCAGGTGGCAGCTTTATTGCGAAGAAAATGCATTTTTTTACAATAGATGTCGCTAGGTGCGCTTATATGTGATTCATGTAAGTTGATTTTTCTGAGAGATAAACTTTGTAATGTAATAAATTGTCATGTTTGTGTACGGTAGCGCAATAAATAAATACTGTATTCTACCACATAAATGATGAATATTGATAATTGTAGCAATTCGTGCAAAATTATTCCCTAACCATTCCAAAATATCAAAAATGCACAGCGTCAATATTCAAGTTTTTACTTCTGCCAGCACTCCTGGAGTGCAACCCGTCGCTTTTTTCTTACAGAATAGCACTGCAGATGACATTTAAATAGCATCCGTGGCAAATCCGGGGACAGAAAAACAAAGGAGTGCCAGCTACAAACAACCGCAATACCAATCTATTATTGCATTAAAAAATCATAATATGACAAGTCTTAAGTTAAAAAAAAATTTTGGTTTATATGTATTTATTATAAAAAAATTGTTGTAATCTTTCCTTTACTCGAAAATTCTAGCATGAAAAATGCTCGAAGGACCATAACACAATTTGTCAACCTAATATCAACTTAATTCCCTACTACATTTTATTTACTGAATTAAATAACATTTATTTATCATTAGTGGGAGACTTCAAAATTTTTTTTATATAAACAAGGCGCAAAATACTCCACCCCATCTGATGCTAAGCGTAAGTGAAATCGCTTTTCGCGTGAAAAGGTATAGCGGATTAGCCGCTTGAATTGGAGCTGGGGAAGCAACCTCCGTCTTACAGGAGACCACAGTAAAATAACACTATCTTTTGATGGCGTTGTGTTTCAGCTGGTTAGTTGGCCGGCAAGGTGAGAATGCCGCATCATCTATCTTCAGACTGGACTCCACTTGGACTTAACATCAAGTGGGGAGGGATAATTTGTATAATAAACAAATAATCCTCGTAATAAAAATGAGGAGCTGGATGGCGCCGGTGGTTAGCGCGTTCGGCTGCGATAGTTGAAGTTAAGCAACTTTCGCAGTGGTCGGTCATTGGATGGGTGACCCAAAAACTTCTATCTCGAGTTCCTCCGTGCTTCGGAAGGCACGTTAAGCCGTTGGTCCCGGCTGCATCTGCAGTCGTCAGCACCCGCCAATCCGCACTGGGCCCGCGTGGTGGGTCATGGCCCAATCTCCCTATTCCATCCATAGGGCAGGCCTGTGCCCCAGCAGTGGGGAAATAAATAGGCTGATGATGATGAATCCTCGTAATATATAATAATAAGCCTCGTTTAATAAACAAATCGCACAAAGAAAGCTGACGTGGCAGAAACGTGTGCAGCTTCTATTTACTACTCTTAACCCATATCTATTTATTTTTATTTTTTGTTACTTGAAAGCAAAGGATGCTAAGTCCATACATCCTTTCAAGTAATAAAAAAATAATTAACATGTTTTTTTTTGTCACTAAACAGGCCCAGAATAACAGCGCTGACACAATGTCGCATCAGCTAATGCTGAGCTGAGGCAGAGTCCTGGTTAGGCCTGTGTTTTTTGAATTTGTATCCGTAAATGTGTAATATGAGTCGTATAATATCAAAGGCGGCAAAGTAGGGCGAACCAAATATTTGGCAAATCAAAAAAAAAACAAGTCTCGTCTTTAAGGGAGGATTTTTATAATTGACATTCATCATAACTACAAATCCTAGTGAAATGTCAATATTTTATCCTCCCTTAAAGACGAGACTAAACAGTTTTTTTTGATTTGCCAAATATTTGGTTCGCCCTACTTTTCCGCCTTTGATACTATACGACTCATATCTCGGGTTAATAAAATATATTTTATTCTGCTCTTCTCTTTTGCTGCCATGCAGCTTAAGGCTAGGAAAATTTCGACGCGGCTAATAGGGCCGTGGTAGCATAATGGTCAGTGCATTCGCCCGGATAGCGAAGGATGCGGGTTCGAGTCCCGTCCGCTGCCTGGTCCACGTGGATTTTTTTCTAGTAAACTTTTCTTTAGATTTAAACATCTAGCAGTTAAATGCTTAAAAAATAAATAAAATCATAAATATTTTATTCTATTTTATTCTATATCTAGCTTTAAAACTTTAATCTGTTCAACGCTTAGCCACCCTTCTAATACGATAAGATGATTTGCCCCAAAGTATTTTTATACCTTTCCCCCTGCCCCCTGGATGTCATTTGAGCTATCTATCTCGTGATTAGTCTGAGAGGGGGCACGCCGATTCTGTAATCATTCGCTGAAAGCTTTGTACTCAAAGGCCCCGTCTTTTGTCAGTAATAGGCGATGAAACGTCTATCCATTTATTAATCGAAGTCTGGGGGCCTACTCTGGGTACACGAAAATCCTGTAGACAGTGACGTTGTCAGTTTTTGTACTAATAATTCACTACTTCGCCAATTATGATTTTTGTAATAATGGTACAGCAAATATTTTATTTTATTTTTATTTTTATTTTTATTTTTATTTTTATTTTATTTTATTTTATTTTGTAAGGAATAACAAACAGTTGTACAATTTGTGTTACATAAAGATTTACAGAATTTTTATTACTAATTATACAACCAGCAACGTTATCCACAGATTACTATTAAAGAGTTATGTGCTATGCTATACACTAATATTTTTGTGAGATGTGAGTAGTTACTGGCAAAGAATCACAAAAATGAAAACTACAAAAAAAAGGATAAATATCAAATACCTGAGGAGTTCAAGAACTTGGTGTGACAATTAGTTCATAAATGTTAGTCTTGAAGGAGGTCGTCGGGGCTGAGAAAATATCAATTTCGTGGGAACTCATGTGTTCATTAAAAGTGTTCATGATCCTATTCAGTGGGGCACGGAGACCCGCGTTAGTATTGACATTATCGGGACAAAACGGTTTGTACGGGTACATTTCGCGGATGCGCTGAGAACCACTGGGTATTCTGATCTTGACATCGCAGGTTAAATCATTACAATCATATTTATTGTGTAAGATATTATGTAAGCAAGAGATGTCAAAAAGAGTTCTCCGCTGCTCCAAACGTGGTATTGAAAATTTTTGTAATAGATTATCATAAGATAATTTACATCGACAACATTTATAACTTACGCGCTTGAGAAATTTGCTCTGTACTGACTCTAGATTGTTTTTGTATTTGGTGTAAAATGGGTTCCAGATAACAGTAGCATATTCAAGCTGTGATCTAACTAGTGCCTTGTAAAGATGCAGAAAGGAGTCTGATTTTTTGAATTGTTGGCAGCTACGCATAATAAAACCATACATCTGATACGCTTTGGAAATGACGTGATTTATGTGTTCGTGCAAATGCAGTTCTGAGTCTAGGAGTATTCCAAGGTCACGTATAAGATTCACTTTCTCCAGTATTTTGTTATTTAGGGTGTAATTGAAATTAATAATATTTTTCTTCTTTGTAGTAGTTATAATTTTACATTTGGCAATACTTAAATACATTTTATTTCTGATGCAATAATCGCTAAATCGGTCAAGGTCGTTTTGAAGCAAGTGAGTGTCATTTGTACATCTGATTTGTTTGTAAATTTTTAGATCATCAGCGTAAAGCAGGATGTCACTGTGTAAGAAGCATTTATCAATATCATTAATGAATAAAACAAATAGCAAAGGTCCCAATATAGAGCCCTGAGCTACCCCAGACGTAGCCGTTATGGCACCAGACATATGACCGTTGATCACTACCCTCTGAGTTCTATTGACAATATAAGAGTGAAACCATCGTAATAGGTTGCCACGTATTTCATTAAATGCTAACTTCTGCAGAAGCAGCAGATGATCCACTTTATCAAAAGCCTTGCAGAAGTCTGTGTATATAGTATCAACCTGTACGCGTTGGTCCATACTAGTAAATAAGTAGTTAGTGTACACCAAGAGGTTAGTTGTTGTCGAACGTTGTTTGACGAACCCATGCTGCTGAGGTATTATAATATTGTGTAAGTCAGCGTAAATAGCGTCATGCACTAGCCTTTCTAAGATCTTAGACACGACAGGCAGCAGTGATATTGGACGATAGTTCGTTATATCGTCTTTTGGACCAGCTTTATGTACGGGTGTTATGTTAGCAGCTTTCCAAATATTGGGGACAACACCTTCCGATAAACACTTATTGTAAATTATAGTAAGAGGAACACTAATGCTGTTTGCTGTGAGTTTGAGAAATAGAGGTGGAATTTTGTCTGGACCTGAGCCCTTGGTGATATCTAATGATTTTAATTTTGCTATTATTTGGTAATTAGAAAAACTTGGAATTGAAGTTAACAGGTTACTATTCATACTATCAGTGTGCCGAGAATTGGCATCAAAATTAGAAGCAGTACTTGCTTCATAGACAGACCCAAAATAACAACTAAAGAAATTGCAAATTGTCGAAGGGTCATCAGATTCTTTGTGATTATACTTCATAACGCGCGGGAAACCCCACTCATTATGTCTGTGCACAAACGCCCAAAAGTGTTTTAAGTCGTCACGTATACTATTTTCTACGGAGCAAATGTAATTATTAAAGCATTCTCCAGAATGCTTTTTGAAGCGTCAAATATCTCTTACTATCATAGAATACTAGCAAACCAGTGAACCAAATGTTCACCAAACCTGATTTAAAAAAAATGTATTTAATTAATTGAGAACTTCGGAGATTTTGTATGGTTTCGTTTGAAATTCGTGATTTCTCGAAAACCGGAAGTGCTACGTTACTCAAATCCGGTTTGTAGTCTTATCAGACTATTCTTAACTTATAACTTAAATATTCTCTTTATCTATCTCTTACGGTTTGGCCGCTGAAACAGCACCACAGACAGACAGACGGACGGACTTGTCTAATAGATAAGAGATTTTAAGGATAAATGCAATCAAAATGCGTTGATATTCAGTGGTTATAAGACTGAATTGTTACTTGTCCTATGTTTTAGTACAGCTGCGAATGCCTACCTCTTAAAATGATCTTGCTCAACCTTTCGAATCGAAATCGAATTATACCTAACTATAATTGCTATTGCTTCTTTCAAAATTTTGTGAGTTACCTACAACGAGAAGAGATGGCGTTGCCTTGCTGCTTAAGAAAGGCAAAACAGAATTCGACACGGCCATCAGGGCCGCGGTAGCATAATGGATAGCGAAGGGTGTGGGTTCGAGTCCCATCTGCTGCCTAGTAATATTTTCTTAAGATTAAAAGATAATAAATTAAAACATGGAGGTGAAACAGGGATGATAGCAAACCGTCTTTTTCTAAGGACACGTATTTTTTTCTTTTTCCACACATAATCCTGGTGTCACGTCTTGGTACAATTTTAACTTAGAAGTGACGTCGTGAGCCGCCACTCCCACACTTGACGAGCTTTATCTTTGTAATTTTTCTGTTGATTGACAAAAGAAAAAACATTTTTTTGATAATCTTATCTCAACATAGAATTTTGTATACTTTATACCGCCATCAACCCTATTTATGAAATCCTAGAATACCGCGTGGACTTTTTTCTAGTAAACTTTTCTTTATATTTCAACATCTAGCAGTTAAATGCTTAAAAAATAAATAAAATCACATCCTAGAATACTTTTAGACTTTCGAACTCTGAGAATCGACCTCCGTTTAATGAAAGAAAATTATACAATCTTGTATTATCTGAAGTGCGTACCGTTAACCTTCAAGAACGTCCTTAATTTATTTATCATCACTAGTTCCTGCCTGTGACTTTGCTCTCACTAGGAAACCTTGAAGCTGATTTCAAAGTATCAGCCTATTAATATCCCCACTGCTGGGGGCCAGGCCTTCCCTATGGATGGAATAGGGTGACTGCGTCGTGACCCACCACGCGGGCCCAGTGCGGATTGGCGGGTGCTAACGATGGCAAATGCAGCCGGGACCAACGTGACACGTGCCTTGCGAAGCACGGAGGAACTCGAGATAGAAGATTTTTGGTCACCCATCTAATGACCGACCACTGCGAAAGTTGCTTAACTTCAATGATCGCAGGCCGAACGCGCTATCCACCTGCGGCATCGGGAAGGCCAGTGCCCCAGCAGTGGGGACATAATGAATTCAAATGTAATCGTACATAGAAATGGACCCTCATTTATTATTTGCGAGGTTGTTTAACATTAGAATTCAAAGGAAAGCGACAATTGGAAGTTTTATTATAACTTATTTATTTATTACATCGTTGCTTTCTTTCGTAAGTCTTTGGCAAGTCGCATTAAATCTTTTAATAGTTATTAAAAAAAACAGACTTTATCAATGAGCATCCTTGGCTCAGTGGTAGAAAGCACGCCTGCTACATGGGCGGCCCGGGTTCGAATACCAGCCGAGAATTTTCTTTTTATTGATAATGTCACAAACGCTCTCGAAACGGAACTGCGAAAATGCTAGATATCGAATGTGCCAGATCACCGCGGATCACGATAGAGGTCGAGTAATGCGGCTCATTCTAAAATGAGCCTTATGCAGTGCGGCGTAAGGGAGAAAGTGCAACGACATCTGCACTTGTTTACAAGTTATGCGCGTTACCTGCGTAGGTATAAGTAGGTACTACGTATTCGCGCGCTCTTAATATAACAGGTACTTTCTAGAATGCGTCGATCGGCGTATATAAGCGTGATTGGCGCCATGCAAAGACAGTTGAGTCATAGAATAATATATATACACAGTTGAGTTTCAACAGTGATTTCGGAGCGAATCCAAAGGCGATCAAAGTGTTCAAGTGCAATTATTTAGAGACTTGTATAGTGAAATACAGTGTTTAGCGAGTGTTTTAGTAATTAACATTGTGTGTTAATTGTGTGAACTGTGTGGTGAATAAAGAACTGTCAAGCGTGAACTGGCATATAATTTCGAACCCCATCCCGACACGTAACAATAATATCAAAAGTTCATTTACACCATGGTTTCATAAAAGCACACCAATTTTTGAAGTTGAACTTCTTTCCCAACGGGTTGTAAATGGGAAAATCTTATGGAAAAGATAAAACGGAAATGCGTCAAGAGCGACCAAATGTAATGTTATTTAAGAAAAAGAGTTTTACTTCAGATGTATGGTCCGTGCACACCAATTCTTTTTAGCTTGACTTTGCCACACTTTCCCGTTAATTCAAGGCTTGAAACCGGTTTCGAAAATACCGGTAAATAAAGGTTAATACCGGTTTTTAGTAAAGGTTTCGTTCGGAGCGCGTCCGAAATGAAAGCGGTACCGTAATAAACCGCACGCGTCGGCATCGCTTGAAGTTTGTTTTGTTTGAACTAATCAAGTCACAACTTGTTAATGCTCAGAGATTGATGCATTTATTGACACGTTTGCTAGCGTCTAGTGAGTCAAGTTATTTATTTTTCATCGATGCCGTCAGAAAGAGCGAAATGAAACCCTTTAAAAACCGCTAAATTGATTCAAAACCTATTTGATTTCCCTCTTTAGGAAAACCGGTTTTTTAAGGTTAAGGTAGAGCCAAACCTAAATAAAACGCTCCTAATGTACTTGACACTGATTAAGGTTTGAAAGTTAACAAGCCCTGCGTTAAATTACCAAAAGTTAATAACGATGTTTTTCTTGTAGATGTTGATGTTTATGATAGACCGTTTATTTTATATTTTACCTTCAATATTTTCTCTCCGCCGCTGCTGACTTGCAGTGATGTCTTTCCCAATATAATAAGGAAGTCTTCTGTATTCATCGCATGAGTACCGTTGAACACGCACCTTGCAGCTGTAAAAAAAAAACAAAATACAGTGCAACAAACTAAAAATGTCCGTTTTCACCTATCGATTGTGAACCGACGCTGCACCCTAATATAACCCAGTGCAAAAAATCAAAACTGTCCGTTTTTACCTATCGATTGCAAACCACCGCTGCACCGTAATATAATACAATACAGAGCAACAAACTAAAACTGTCCGTTTCACCTTTTTTTTTCAAACCAACAGTAATGAGTGAAGCAAAATATATTCCTAAGATGTCCTCCTATCTTATTCTAGGTAATAATCGCTGCCTTTTTTGTGGGCCTTTCTAACTGATACCTTATTTGTTGAATTTTTCGCCGAAACGAATCCTAAATCTAATGTTTATCCGGATATTATACCTGGACAATATACAGGGACGGAGAACACCGTGAATTTTGAGTTACCTGAGAAAATTCACTAGTAATTCTAACATAAAACAAAACTAGCAGGTCGTCCTAGCCCCCCTCTTCATCTGTGTGGAATGATTGATTTCTGATACAAACATACATTCCCTATTTGACCCCCTTTAGATCATATTTTTAAGAGAAAAAGTAGTACATATTATACTTGTGGCGACGACATCTACATGCCCCACATATAACCAAAGGAAGGAGCAAATAATCACTCGCCTCTTCAAGAGATGGCGCTACTGGCGAAGCCTACATCGCGCAAGAGAAATTCGGAGCCAAACACTTATTACCCGGCTGCGCAATGCAAGAGCGCGAAGCGCGACGCGCAGACAGGGTTATGTGTTTAACAGTCTATATATGTATGTTTGTTCCTTTGTGGCACACTAGAGACCAAACGCCTGGACCGATTTTGATGATTCATACATCAATCGATTCGTCTCAATCATGGAAGTGCTACTAAAGATATGATAGTAATCAAAATTCAATATGGGCAACATTAGGCGCCATATTGTGACGAAGTAAAAAAAATAAGTTGACAAAATATGTCGAGTGGGGTATCACTGTCTAGATAATCAAAAATCATATTTAGGTTCCTAACACCATTTTTCATTTTATATGATTGTTTAGGATCTACAACGCTTTAAAGTTGTATATTAACCACTTGCGATTTTAATTTCAATCTTACGTTTGTATGGATCTTTGTTACTCTTTCACCTAAAAAATACTGAATGGATTTTAATGAAACTTAACAGTAATATAGCTCATATATGATAATTACATATATATAATAATTTATGTAGTTATTGAGTGAATTGGCCAATATATAGCAATAAGTGTTACATAAGACGGAAAAAAATGTCCCATCTGCGAGCCATTTTGGCCTGCACTGCAAAAACAATAAAAGTTACATGAATGTAATGTAGAGTGAAAATGTATCTCTTAAATAGTTCTAAAAAAAGTCCGTGACACCATATATCTATTTTTAATGTGTAAGTCATTACCGCTAAAATAGTGAATCAAAACTAAAATATTATTTGATATCTATTTCCAAAATGCACATTTTGTATTAACAAATCAATTTTTGTCAAAACAAATACTTTAATCGCTTTTGATATTTAAAGACGATAAACTTTGCTTTTTACACTATGTCATTTCGACAAATATTTAAAAAGTTACAACGATGACAAAGTGATAGCGCGGTGTACTATGTAAAAGAAAAAAATGGGGTATTCGCAGTATCTGATCCTATACGAAGCACTAACAATAAAACTGTGATACAGTTCCTTCTTATTAAATGATGAAATATATATTATCATAACAGGTATTTATGATTATTAAATTTTAATGAAAAACTCAGAATTTTACTGTTTTTCATTTTTTTAACGATATTACTTAATTTTGTAATAAAATATACAAAAAAGGTTTACTTAATATAATGACAAATAACCCATTTCTCGCTAGTAAGTACATAAGTATGTACTCCAATAAGTATTGAAATCCCTATATTATTAATCAGCTCGCGATAATATTGGTTTTGTAGTAATTCTACAAAAAATCAAAGTAAATAATGTAGATTTTTATAGGTAAATCACCCCTTTCATCACCCTACGCCACTAAGTATTGCGATGTTGTAGCTAAGAACCAAGTTCCCATCTACTTCTATATCGGAATTCATTATATTCGATTTAGCTATTAGGGCACGGAAGCGCAACAAACCAACTCACTTTCACATCTATAATATTATATTATACTTACTAGTGATCCACCCGGGCATTGTACGGGCGAAATTTATTTATCGGGATGAAATATAGCCTATGTCACTCGGACAAAATGTATTTAAATAAAGAAAAATGTAATAATAAATAATGTAGCTACCTTATGATAAATTTATTTGATGGTTTATTTGATTATAATTGTAAAAGTTACTTAGCATTTGTGCTTAACAGTGATACATTATTCGGTATTTTTTTAAACAAAAAAAAAAATTGGAAAATAATTGCCATGATTGCTCTACTGGGAGTAGTCTACATTCAAGCTTTACACTACCAATAAAAAAGGGTCGATCACAAATTCTTTGACCTGTTTTAAGTGAACGCTTTAAAAGAAAACTACAAAGAGAACTATAAATTGATAATAAATGAGATTGCTATGGTGCTCTACCTAACGTTATGAAAATTTTATTATGCGCCTTTAGTTTAATTTAATATTATAAACTTTGCTTTGGTGATTGCATAATTATTTAATTTAGTGATCTAAGGCAGTTGCCATCATTGTCCAAAACAACAAACGGTAATTACTGCTTTCTTCAACCTGCGACATAAACGTCATTGATTGGTATTATAGGGTGATTAAAAACATTTGAAGTTAACTTCTGGCATCTACATATTGGGTTTCTGTGAATTATGTGGGTATATCAAATTATGAGACAAGGGACTGACACTGCATTTGTGTATATCACAATCTTAGACGTCCGGCATTGACATGACAATGCAGCCACTGCCAATTTTAAATAGTCGACGAATAAAAGTAAATGAATTTTATATTTACTGCTAAACTATTAAAAAAAACATAAACAAAAGATGACTTTTTGAGTAAGTGCTAGTTTACTATAAAATTAACATACATTAGAGATATTAATGTATCGACTTGATTTAACTTCACACATTTTTGCGAAAATTGAGGCCCATCTATAGCCTTGACCCCGCTGGTAAAGTCTCTATATGTCTTAATAAATCAATCTTTTAGACCGACGTACTTAATAATTCCCGCGATATTAATTCCCTTACTGAAGTAACAAGACTACGGTATATACCGTCTTAAAATACTAACTAACTAAAAAGTGTGAAATAAAAAAGGTAAATTTAAAAAATCAAAAAACCCGACTGCTTAATTATACTTCAAATAAAAACTGAAAAGAAGAAAACAAGTCCAGTAGTCTATAATTCTGTTATTAACAACTTCACTGTCCAATGAGTCACATGTGACTCATTGGACACTTTTGGAATAAGTTCAGGAGTCAGGGGTGACTCATTTTTCGATACTTTTTGGCAAGATTTTTCGTCATGAGCGTAGCTCAATAGACTTATAAAATTACGTGAACGTATAGCAAAAACCCTAAACTTTCATGTACAAAAATTTGCTTTCGCAAAAGGTTTTTATTTCTTTTGTTATGAACAAATAAAAACATGAAACAAAACCGAAGAAAAAAAAACATGGACGTGGAGAAGTCGGAAATTGTATTGTATGGGGACAGTGAAGTTGTTAAGGAACAAAGCTACTTTAACAGTCGGGACCCACTGTTGAAAAATATTATGTATTCTTGAATATCTAATGGGTCCCGACTGTTAAAGTAGCTTTGTTCCTTATTAACAGAATTATAGACTACTGGACTTGTTTTCTTCTTTTCAGTTTTTATTTGAAGTATAATTAAGCAGTCGGGTTTTTTGATTTTTTAAATTTACCTTTTTTTATATAATGCAATGCCCGACCAACATCAGTTGGGCCGCGGCCCTCGAGCTACCATCACCTAGCTTGGAGGAAAATCTTACCCTTTGGCCTTCTTACATACTGATTCAACTCCAGGATAACATTTACATTGAATTCGAATCTATAAAGTTACCCAGTACCCGGGTCATCATCATCATCATCATCAGCCTCTTAATGTCCCCACTGCTGGGGCACAGGCCTTTCCTATGGATGGAATAGGGAGATTGAGCCATGACCCACCACGCGGGCCCAGTGCGGATTGGCGGGTGCTAACGACTGCAGATGCAACCGGGACCAACGGCTTAACGTGCCTTCCGAAGCACGGAGGAACTCGAGATAGAAATTTTTGGTCACCCATCCAATGACCAACCACTGCGAAAGTTGCTTAACTACAACGATCGCAGCCGAACGCGCTAACCACCTGCGCCATCGAGCTCCTCAGTACCCGGGTTCAGGAGTATATTTTATGATTGAATTTAGAACCCGCTAAAAACTTTTTCTCCCTTTCTATCATTCGTACCCGCTCTTTCCTTCATAGAAGACTATCATCTTTCATACTCTTTCTCTTCACCATACAGCATTACATTAACTTTGTATGAACTTTGTACCTTACCCTAACTTTGTGTCTTTTGGTGGCGTTGTGTTTCTGTCGGATACTAAGGTTTCAAGGCTCCACAGGGTACAGGATTGGGTCAGGATAGACCGTTGCCTACGCACCGGCGTGCGTTCCTACGACAACGGCTAACAAGAGCCTAGGTCGGAGTCTCAGAGACGCCCTCTAGTTGAGCCGATCCCCTCAGGTTCGAGTGGTCTAGAGGCTCCAGACAGAGAGGATACTCCCCCCGTGGGGAGATGCCTTCCGCTTGGAATACCTCTGGCACTCGACAATTCTCGGCTTTAGGTCCCCTTAGGATCTCGCCGTCACCAAACCCGGTGACGTTGTAAAAGTCATCTGCGACCAACAGCATACACAGTCTTTTTCATTGTTTACCATCAGGCAGGCCATATGCATGTGGACAAAGGATGGCAATCTTTTAACAAAAAGAAGAATTAATGTAAACGCGAATTCTTCTCAGTTCGTGCGTTCTAA